CCCCAAAACCCCAAAACCCCAAAACCCCAAAACCCCTTGGTACATATTTTGATAGTTTGTAGATTATTGGATTTATTGAATTAATGATGATATTTTAAATAACATCAAATTCATATATAATAACGAGAATAATTTAGGTTAAATAAATTTTAATGGATTCCAGCCTTTAGACTTTCTCATCTGTGCAGGAGGAGTCTTCTTAATTATCTGATGATAGGTCAGATGGTTATGATATAGATTTGTAATATGATAAGTAGGACTAAGTCTCAGGGGAAGTAATGCTTCTATAAAAAAATGTATAAATTGTAATAAGGTGCCTCGATATGAATACTCATAAAAACTTTGCAAATTTGTCTCTTGTAATTTATCAATCTATTTTATACTTAAGGGATCTATTATGGGAGCGTTTATTGGTGATGCTGCTGGAGCTCATGTTGAATATTTATACAAGGTCACAGACAACTTACTAGAAGAATCAATGAACCTAGTAGGAGGGGGAGCTCATAATTTAGCTCCAGGCTAGATTACTGAAGACTCAGAAATGGCTCTTAGTATTTTCTAATCTCTTTGTAATTTTGAAATTAATTTTCCTCAGTGTAAATTGTTCTATAGTGAAGAGCCAAGGATTTCTAGACCTTGATGAATTAGCAAGTCATAATTTAGACTGGATTAAAACAAATCCATTTGATTTGGGATTTACAACCAAAACTGCTCTAACACCATTATTATGCAATGCCAGAGGCATTTTTGAATAGGTTAAGAAATTAAACTCTTGCTCACAAAGTAATGGATGCCTTAAAAGGATAACTCCCTTTGCTGTTTGGGGATCTTAATTATCAAATGATGACCTATATAAAGCAGTTTACCTCTAAACATATATGACTCATTGCCATTAAATCGCTATAGACTCTACCTACATTTACTGTTACACTATCAAATTAATCTTAAATGGAAATTTGGATAGAAAATCTATTTTTGATTTGGCAAGAGAAGAGGCTTTGAATAGAAACTGGTTTTAAATTTGTGAATGGCTTGATGAAGCCTTAAATTTCAATTTGCCCTGCACTACTAAAAATGAGGGTTGGCTTAAAATTGCTTTTATTCACGCATTCCATTATTTAATTAGTGGTTCATCCTATTAATAAGCAATTCGATAAATGATTAGAAAAGGAGGGGATACAGATACAAATGCAGCTATTGTTGGCGGCCTTGTGGGAGCCTTTTATGAAGTGTAAGAGTTAGATTAAAGCATGGTAAACAAAGTAATGAATTTAAGATTTCTTGAAGAGATGCCAAATGAATCTTATCCCTACAAGAGAAAGCAGGGTGTGAAGAGGCCAGATTTCATGGTAGCAGGCCTAGTCTTTACACAGACTAATCTATATAAATTTTTCAGACATATACCAACTGAGTTGAAGGTAATATTTCTAGGGAAAATATATTAAAATGAATAGATAGATGAACTAATTAAGAAGTACCCTCTCTCGAATTCTGAGAGCTCTTGATAAAATTATTATTGCTGCTGACTTTAAATATTTTTTGAATTTACTGAATTAACTAATCATTTTTGCTCTTTTATGATTGCGGGGTTTTGGGGTTTTGGGGTTTTGGGG